TATTTTTTAGATTCCACATGTAAGTGATATCATGTGATACAGCTGTCTTTCTCTATCTGACTTAACTTCACTTAGTATGATCATCTCCAGGTCCATCCATGTTGCTGCAAATGGCACTATTTCATTCTTTTTATGGCTGAGTAGTCCCGTATACTTTAAATCACTCTAAATTACTTATAGTACCTCTTACAATGTAAATACTACGTAATAGCTGCCAGCACACAAAAAATTCAAGTTTTGCTTTTTGGAACTTTGTGCAACTTTTTAAAAAATATTTTCAATCCTCTGTTGGTGGAATCTGCAAATGCAAAACTGCACTATAGAGAGCCAAATGTATAATATCCCATTTGAGAGATGAGGAAACTTAACCAAGGAAAACTAGATGAAAGCAGAGGCAGGATTAGAAACCACTTACACCACTGAATGTATTCAAATCACCATTGAAAAAATCCCATGAACAGCAACAACAGAGCCCATAGTTTCCTCTCTCCGCTCTTGAGGTCCTTGGAGCTGAGGCAGAAAGAATCGCAACAGAACAATTAAATCATTTTTCCTGTCCCTCCGGCTTTACAGGCAAAGCTGAGCGATCTCTACACCCTGTGTTATTTTGGAGCCTAGCCTGTTACTTTCCAGACAAACAAGGGAAAGACAAGACAATCTTCCCATGATTGTATCATTGTTAAATTATTTAAGAGAATTCCAGAAGAAGATGTTATAGCAAACAAATGTAACAGCTTCTGTTGCTAACAAAATGTATGTTTCCATAAATAAGTGCACCTTTCACCTTTTTCAAAGAATGTTATCCCAGAAGATCTATTTTTTTGCTTTCAGTAAAATCACAACTCATGGAGTGCCATCATTTCCTTGAGGTAAACACAAGGAAAGCAATTCATAGAATCAAGCAATTACATAGATAATCCAGACATAGACCCAAGTGTTCATTTTCGATGATAGGTAGCTTTGGCTGTGTAAACAGTCTGTCTCAGGTGTGGTCTTCCTATTCTAGTTGTGGAATTTGGTGTGAACTAATCAAAGCTCTTAAATCACATGCAATAAACAGGCTTCCTTATCTACAAGGGCAGACTTCACATTCAGGCGAAAATGAATAGAAAATTTCTAAAATTGAATGCTCTCCAGGTAAAAAGGAAAAACATGTTTGCATTCAGCCTACTATAGTTACTCCACCATGACACCAGCTGGCAATTGTTTCTGGCGAACAGATTGCAGCTACTATGATTCCTACACAAATTATTAAAATAATAAAAATAATGTTTTCAAAGAGCTTTCTTCCACTTCCTTTACCAGTCTAGCGATGAGCTTGACGCTATCTGAAGCAATTTGTTCACCTAATTTTATGCCTTAATAAGCTTTACTACAATTATTTTCTTGCCTGATTCCTTCTCTGCCCTAACTTTAGTACACTTCCTCCCTGTTCTCAAATATTCCCCAACCCGTGAACAACATTGCACTCCCCTAGGATTTAAACTTTTGATTAGAACAGTCCCCATTTAATCAAGTTCAATTGGGAGATAAAATTGCATCTCAACTTCTCCATTTTCCCTTTGGTGCCAGAAACTGCCTTTGAGATTGTTGAGGAAACCCTGGAGAGATTAACAGTCCAAACAATCACAGAGAATACTTTCAGATCCCCTACATTTGCACACAGGAGTATATGGATATGAATGCCCTTCAATACAGATGAAAAACAAACTAGACTGTGTAAGTCATTGACAGCGTAAATCTCTCCTTCAAGAATTCAGTGTTCATACACACTGAAATGTCTTCCTTTTTTTTCATTTTTGTAAACAAACCAAAAAAAAAAAGCCCCCCAGAGTGAGCAGTTTTGCAAATAAGCAGCAAAGCAGTAGCTTTATTTTTCCGGAGGAAGTTAAGCAGAAGAGTTCGAATAGACATTGAATAGACCGGGCAAACTGCAGAAAGAATAGTGATGTATACCGAATGTATTCCAGTTCACTACATGATTGTAACTTTGGGGCAACTATAACCCTCTATACTGCTTCCCATAAAGTTCTATTTGTGTGAACAGTTCATTCTTCGCTTTATTGTATAATACTCTTCATCCACCGTTGCCAGCTGCCAGCGAGTGATGAATGGAACTATGCTACCTGTATGCACAATGTATTCATTAACTTCGTATTGTGTAAGCAGATGCAATAGTCTTTTCAGAGGAGATGTTCATTTATTTCTTTAACAAGAATTTGTTAAGCTCTTTCTATGCACCAGGTGCCCTTCTGAGCGCTTTGGATACTGCATTAAACAAACAAGACCAATAGGGACCCTGCCTTCATGTAGCTTATATTCTAACCATGGAAAAATGAACGATGAATAAGTAAACAAAATTCATTCATTTAATCCAAAGGTATTTATTAGGACCCTGCTATGTTACCAGGTACTTTGAGGTACTTGGGATAATTAAAGAAATAATTTTTCCCCTCAAGGGTTTAAATGCAAGCAGGGTAAAATAGTTGGGCCTTGCCGGCCACTGTAAGACATTTACCCTGAAAGAAATGGGGAGCCACTGGAGGATTTAAACAGTTTTTAAAGGACAGTTTTGTTGAGAAGAGACTGTAGGAGGGCCAGTGTAGAAGCAGGAAAAGCAGCTAAGTGGTATTCGGCAACCAAAAGAGGTAACAGGGCTCAGCCCAAGACAGGGTGGTAGCAGAGGGGGCGGAGGGAAGTGGTCAGATTGCCTGCGTTTTCAAGACAAGAGCTGTCAGTGTTGGTGGGTTGAATGCGAAGTATAAGAAGAAGAGGGAGCCAAGGATGAAGCCAAGGTTTGAGGCCCTCGTAATTGGAAGGATGGAGCTCCCATCAGCTGAACTGAGGCCCTTTCTGTCTGCCAACCCCTTTGGTTCTTCTACGACCTTCTCTCAGGGGCATCTTTGCATCTAAGCCAGTGGTTTTTCAACCCTTAACAGACCCAGCAATCATTTTTGTTGAACAAATATTTTTAAGTAATCCCTTTAATAATCCCAACTTAAATATCATAAATAATAGACTCTACATACCCACATAATTTGCCAGACTAACAAAAAATGTTTTAATTGTAATGTTAAGGAAATACAAAAAGAAAGTAATTAATAATGGAGCACTATATATTTCAACATGTAAATGCTCAGACCTGACTACAGTAGACAACATTAAAATGTAATTGGATGCCTGTGTCTCTTAAATATCTTGTGTGGATATAAGAGAATTAAGATCAGAAGCCATCTCTTTCAAAATTGAAAAAGCAGAAGTGTTAGTGGATACTAGAATTAAAAATAATGTTAGGATAAGTAAGAATAGTCTTGACTTATAAATAAACATATGATAAGAAGAAGAAGCAAAGATCATGCACCAAGATAAACTAGATTTTTAGAGTGAAGAAAACAGGAAAATATGATTCTCATAAATGAGCTAGGTTTTCTTTTTAAATGTTGGGTCAAAATGCTTCTCTGTAATATAAAATATCTCAAGATAACAGACTTTCTGTCTTGAAATACTACTACACATCAAGGCCAATCTGATTTCTGAAAGTAGTGGAATATTTGAAAGTCACATGGAGCCAGACAATTCTATCATTGCAACCACCAAATAAACGCAGTAGGGTCTCCCCATCATTGTGAGAAGCCCAAACGCCCCTAGGCATTGATACCACTCCCACTCCCCTGTCTTTCCCTTGTCAATGTAAGTCAGTATGAGGAGATAAAGAGACTGAAACAGCACACATTTTTTCCACATTCAGTCAGACTTTGGTTCTTAATGGGTAAAGACACACTTCCAGAATTTTTTTTTCCATGATACCTATTTTTTCTTCAAAAAGTCTGGTTTTGCATTTGAAACCAAAACTTGCAGATACTAATTACTGAAGGTCACATAGTTAGTAAGTAATGCTACTTGGATTTAAACCAGGTGGTTAGCTTTCACAGATGGAGA